CAAAAAAGAAAACTTTTACTGATTTAATCGGTTATTGATGATCGTCAAAAGTTTACATTGCGTTGAACTCTACTTACCACAACAATATTAAATGGCATGCTAACTCTCGATTCACATCTTGTATTCCAATAGATTGATACTGAGTTAATTTCCTTTAGCTATTACAATAATAGTAACAATATTGAAAGAAGAATTTTCTATTAAACAAACTGTGTAGATGATTGGCATTATTTCTTTTGTTCGATGTCTCGTTCTGATATCGTTTCCTGTCTACAAAAAAAAGAATTCTTGTTTTCCGTTAGAAATAAAATCGAAATCTCCTACGGTTAATTTGAGATAATGAAGTGTCACTCCGAATGAAAATGGATGTCCCAGTTTAGTTGTCGATTTTGTTTCGTAACTAATGTGCAGATTTTCAACAACGAGTTCGATATTTTGCATTATTTGTAAGCGCATCCGTTCAAAAAATGTCATTTCCTTCTCATCCAACTTTTTATTCTCTACAATACATTCAATGAAAAGAAAGGAAAAGAGAACACCATAACTGACCTATCATTGCTTTTCTTAGATCGTCGACTTTACGTTGTACTCGTCTCATTTTGTGTGTATGATATTCGGTTAAATCTTGGCCAAATTCTATAAAAAAAAAACAAAAAGAAAAACAAAACATTTCATTTCATTAAATTAAAACACATTCGATGAAAAATTTCTACATGTTTATTGCTACCAAAAACAACTATCAGTAACGGATTCGATTGAATCAAACATGCTGGCATTAACCGATATTCGAGAACGCTCTGAGGACATGCAAAAAAAAATCGAAAACAAAAGAAGGTACATGCGAACACTAGTCATGATTTTAAGGACATTTTTGAAGTTTCAGGATCTTTTTTTTGGAAGTCTGTCTTGCTTTTCTAAACTCATAAAATCACTCAATGATTGCCGACGATGTTCGGAAACCAAAATGTATTTCTGGACTTTCATTCGACTTTTAAATAAAAATTATCAACAATATTGGTTTACCAAATGGACTTTTCTAAATACTTTTACGATGTCAAAATAGATGTTCTAGGAAATCGGATGAACTTTTGATGCTCAGAAGGCAATGTATCTGTAGGAATGATTTTTATGATTGAGAGTCTTTTTGCAAAAGTACGACGGTTTTTGAAAGCAGTTTAATCTCGACACAATTGGATTCTTTTCGACTGTGATTTAAATCAGATTACACTGTTTATTAGTTTCAGTCCAAAGAACGAATTTTGAACTATGAGATGCATATATTTATTAAAAAGTTTAACAATGGATATTCTATTCAGCTTTGGTAAGTCATTACCTATCGCATCTTTTTTTCGGTTTTATTACTTGCATATCTTTGGAACAACTACTTAACGAATTCTTAAGTGCCCTTTGCAATTAAGTGTGCTTTTAAATATGTCTCTGCTAGATCTATGCGAAATTCTTTTAAAAAACGAGGACTTTATTTTCACATTACAGTATACGACAACACACTCTGAAGATCGTATATTATTAAGACTTCACAAAATCTTTCTATAATCTGAAAAATTGATCATGTACTAAATTCGATTCTACCAAAGTTAGGTCACAAAAACCGCATTGATTACATTCTGAACATTTTCCTCGCGAATGTCTTCGTAGCTAAACAACATCTATTTGGATTATTAGGGAAAAAATTTTTAGAAATATAACTTCCACTATATTCGAGTTTGCGAACATGCTTTGAAATTTGTCGGATTCTTTTGTAATCAAAACTTAGTCAATGATCAAGATTAGTGACTTACCATTTTTGGGCACAATCAAAATATAAAGTCCATCGATGTGTACTTTCGTTGAATGAGTATGAAGATTCCTCCATGGAATAGTTAATGCTAATTTCTCTATTAAGAATAAGGAACATTTCATTTTTCCTTCGTAGAATAGAAAACAAACTCACCCAGATAACCAACAGCCACTGTCACAGGAAGATTGAGATCAGCCTGAGCAAATTAAAAAAAAACAATATAAGATAATTTTTTAATATTTATTTTGAAAAAAATTTGGTTATAGTTCTCAAATTGTATTAGAAAGCTACACACCAATGCTTCGGGTTTCAGACGAAGATTTCCCAAGGTAACATGTCCTGTTGAAAAAGAAATGATAACTTTTAGCAGACAAATAATTAGAGACTGACCGTGTCTTAAGTCGAAATTCAATTTTTCATCGTCCAATTGTTCAATATAATTTTTAAGATATCTATTGATAATATAACGGATGATGCCCTTTAATACCATTGCGTTACTTTTTTGTTCTGAAGCGAAATAGTAAATGACAATTCCAATTTTCTTTTGAAACAGTTATAAGTAAATAAATGTGCGATTGCCCAATGTTTCAATGCACAGAAATTTGAAAAACAAAAGACAATAGATGTACATTATATTGTTCTTTTTCGTTTCTATTTTGTGGAACTCACATATATTTCCGACAAAAATAGTGAGTGTGAGTTTTCAATCGAAGTGTTCTAGATCTCATCCCTCCCTCCACATTACAGACCTTAGCAACTTCTCAAAAAAAGAAAACAATTCTGTTTGAAGTGCAGCAATAAAACAACTGTAGTCTATGAGAGTTTTCAATTTACGTATTTTGTATGAATTTAATGAGTCTAAAGAATTTAGGTAAGTTTCACGTTTCAGTCTCAAAGAGACTGCTCTAATAAGCTTTTTTCTTTGGTACTAAGGTGCAGGTGTTTATGCGGTGTGTGTGTGGAAGCGTCATACGAGTCTCACACGTACATCCACTCTGTTTGAGTCCGCTACTAACTTCACCTACGTCCTACCTCAGTAGATTTTTTCACTTGTACAAGTGTAATTTTATGCACTTTTTTTACTCAGTAATATTGGAAAAAAACATACTCGGCTTTACGTTACTTGGTAGTAACGTCATGATTACCAGACAACCTGTGCAAACATGATTATACTGTACAAACCCAAAAAATATAAGTAAGATGCTTGCTTTCTATGATCAGAATTTTGTCGAAACGAAAAAATATTAAATTTTCGTCCTTATTTGACATGTTTTGTATGTTAGATGTTGTCTATAGGTTAAATTTAAAAAATCATTCTCACATGTGATGTGAAAAAATGCAAATATTCTCATTGCACGCTGCTTATTTACTCAATGCACGCTGTGTAGGCAGAATTTATGGAAGGCATCGATCAAATACGTTCCTTTCAGCTTTTATTGATTCTAGAAGGTGACATGTTTACGCTCTGTTTAATCATGATTCACATGCAACCACTCTTGAGAAGAAAAGAATCATTCTTGTTTCCAATTTAACTGGATGTTTCGAAGCACCAAAATTTCTTTACTACATTGAGCTGAAAACTATTCACAGTTGGTAAGATTACTGTGCTATACTAACCTGTCTCTAAAATGTGACAACGCTGTTATTTTAATAAAAGACTACATATGGTCAGTTTAGGCTGTAGGCCTTTATCTTCTCGTCAGCCACACCTAGACGCAGACGCATACCCACACCGATACCCAAATACTCACGTCTCACCCACGCCCTATACCCACATGCACATGCATACTTCCGTAAAAAACAGAGTCAACGAACGATACAAAACTGATCATCTATAAATTATTGAATAACGTTTTTCAGATAACCGGTGAATAAAAGAAAAAGAGTTGGGTATGAACGTTCATTACTCAACAATGCTTTTTCGTTGGATATTATGTTTGATAACCTTATCATTTTTGGCCACAAATGAACGCGTCATTGCCTTGCTTGAATTGTACGTATATCATGGCCTAATCACGCATGGATTACTGATTATAGACGTCGATTTTAGACGTGTATAATATAAAAAAAAGAAATCTAAATCGAAGATACAAATTGTTGATATACAGAAATACAGTACTAGGAAATATTGTCCAAGAATATATTTAAAATGCTTTATCTGTATATCAACAATTTGCATCTTCGAGTTTTCTTTTCTCTTTATATATGATAAACGTCTGCTTTTATACTACATATGTGTCTATTTAAATTTCTTCCAATGCATAAACTCTACATTTCGTATCAAAAATACACTGCGCAAGCATTTTGTTCCTGATAGATGGATGAGAACATGAGAATTTATTCTCTTTGTTTTTCTCTTATCTTTTCTCATGTTTGAATAACTATAAAACTGTGTAATCTTTCTATCATAACGATGAAGTTGTTGTCATTGGCGTTTCTTTGTGTTTGGCTGCCAATAAAAAAGAAAGAAAACTTAGACAACTTAAATTTATAACCAACAAAAGTAATGGACGTATGGTTTTGATCAATAAAGAATTACGAATGTCACTCTATATCAAGAAAATATGAATCATTACTATTAATGATGGACGTACAAAACAATAAAACAAATGTATTTCTAAAAAATTGCAAGACAAAAAAAGGCACAGTCAACAGAACGAAAATTATGTTTATAACATTGTAACTGTTATGGAGTTCATGCGGACCCATAGCTTTATTTTATCCCTGTGAGATCTATTCGTGATTTATGGTGATGCTAGTATACACCAACGAAAAACTAAAGATTCATAGAGTGTGAGTGTGTGAAGGAGGCTGGTTCTAAGAGACTGTAGCGTAAATGAATATATGTGTGTTTGATAGAATGGAGAAAAAAGTGAGTTCTCGTGCAATTCGAACCATGCATCATCTCCTATTCTTGAAGATGCTCTGAACGAGTGTGATCAGAATGGATATCTAATCTTCATTTATTGCTGGAGTATTCCCTTCTCAACGTTGACAAGGGCCTGCTATAGAACATTACTATATCCAGTCCAAAGTTTGGTTAATTCCGCTTAGAAAAGCACAAATTTGCTGTGGAATGATTCATTCGATGTGTCTTCTAATATGCTGATGATAAATTACTTTTATTAAACTATCAATTTACGAAAACGATTTGATATATTTTATTTGCTATAAATAGTTTATTACAAGCGATTCTAACTTTTTATGTTCGTAAATCAAAAATAACTTTTCGAGCTAATCGCTTGTCGAACAATTCATAAGCTTTGGCTGCATCGGACAAACTCATACGATGAGATACGAAGGTTTTGAATTGATCTTGCTTTTTTGAAAAGAGTCGTAGTGCTTCGGGAAACAAAGCTCGAACTGGACATCGCCCAAATTGCAAACGTACATTCTTGTCATAAACTTGAGGACCACTAAACGGAAAAGCATCTTGATGTGCGCCAACAGAGGCGATAACGCCCCATGGACGAATGAGATCGTAAGCCAATTGCAAAGCATCAGCATGCCCGACCACTTCTAATATAGCATCAGCTCCTCGACCTTCAGTTACATTCTTGATTACACTTACAGGATCATTATTGAGATTGATCGGAATAGCACCATGTTTCTTGGCCTCATCTGTTATCAACGAATCAACATAATCTTTCAAGGTCAACATAAATATAAACAAAGATGCAAGACTTACCGAGACGTTCTTCAACACTGTCTATTGCATACACAATTGGAAAACGATCGCAAGCCGCAGTAATAGCACACAAACCAACAGGCCCACAACCAATGACGCATACGATTAGATTTGGATCTTGACGCTCCTGATCACTAAGCAATGTCCACGCATTCTTTGCCGCAAAATAGCCGGTAGGAAATATGTCAGCCATAAGAAATGCTAGGTCATCAGATATTTCCTTTGGAGCCAAGAACCCAGTAGTATCTTAGAAGAGAACAATTTTCTGAGAACACTGTATAATAACGGCTAGAATTATAGTTTATTCTAATCAAGAAATGTGCATGCAAATCTGAGCTAGTGTGATTTTGAAAATGAAAGATAGAATCCTCGGTAAATTACATATTGTCAATATATTTCTAGTTTGACAGTTTCCAGTTACGTTTTATTAACAAGTTCCATTTATTCGCATAATCATATCTCGAATATCATTCAGATGTGTCTATTTCTTAGATCAAAGGCGTCAATGAATTCAACTACTTTTCATGCTCGAATACGATTTTACTTTAACACTTGAAAAGTTAAAGTTTGATATCAGATAAGACGAATTAACAAAGTTACGTGCTCTTTTTATAGACTTTTAAATCTAGTTAAAATTACTCGAATACTGTAGAATTTCAGTGCCTGACTATCAGGAATCTTTAGCAGGACCCATGGCTACAGATGAACACAAACACGATCGAACAATTTTGGTGAAATATTTTTCGATCGACTTTTCTACAGCCTTCATGCAATAGTATATGTGGCAGTCGTCAAGTGCTTTTACGAGAACTATAGTTTAAACAATCGATTTTTTGTCTAAGTTCATGAGATTATTCTCGGATTAAACAGACAAACCGTATTTCATTCGAAAAAAATTCATACCAGCAAAAGGGATTCGTACATATTCGGCTTGACCGCCATCGAGCGAATGTGTTCCAAATACTTGAGCTTTTTCACATCGCGAAGTAAGTGCCTTTGCACAATAGAAACAGTTGCCGCATGATGTTGAAAATGGTACAATGATTTTGTCACCTTTCTTGAAATTTTTTACATCAAATCCGACATCAATAATTTCTCCGACAAATTCATGACCCTATTCATGTCAAAAATTCATTGATCTGAATTAAAAATAGAAAAATCCTACTGACCATGATGATGTCTGTCTCACTAGGTTCATGTCCTCTGTAGATGTGCAAATCTGAGCCACATAAGGCAGTTACGTGTACTTTAACAATCACATCCATAGAAGTGTTACAAGTTGGAATGGGACGATTTTCGACGGTAATTTTTCGCACACCTTTAAATATGACAGCTTGCATGGTGTTAGAAGACATCTAAAGAAAAATCAATATCTTCGTAGATCTATTTTTGGCTGTACAAAGTTTTAAAGCGCTTATGAGTTTGTAATCTACTTGTGTTTTTTTCGCTTGTATTTAAAAAAAACGGAGTTTAATTTAAAGAACATTAGCTCGTTCGAGGCACTTGTCTGAAATGGTAAATGGGTATTCAATTTGATGGAAGAATTCACCCATTCTAAATCAATAATCCGAATAAGAGAGTCAATATATCTTGATCTATCGAGGCTTGAAGAAAGCGAAAGGGTTTGACGTATGAGATATACTATAATATTATGCAATACAATTAATAATGAGTGCTGAAGTATATATGAATTTATCAATTTAGATGATTACTTTTAAAATTTAAATTCCGTGATCGAAAATTAAAAAAGCAAAAATGTCGACATGTGTGTAATAGTCTGTAATAGTAAGAGACATTTTCGATCTGTAGGTCTTTAAATTTACAAAAAACTATTTTAGACATAATAAGGCTTCTTGATCACGATTGAAACGGTTTTGTCGTGTTTTACATTTTATTTCCGAAGTGATTACGCTGATTGAGCTTTTTCTTTAATTGAGCGTTACGTCTAATTATCAGTGTTTCTGATTTATTTAAATACAAAGATGATGTCCATAAGATGCTTGATATTTGTGGCACGATAGTGATATATTGTGGAAAAAAGAAAACTTGCCGTTTATGTGGAAGAATTAGGAAGTCTTTTTTTCCTATCGCGAATCTTTCAGTTGTTGTTTGAGGAGGTATATGAAGCTGCAATACAAAAGAAGTTCTAGAGAGAACGAAATATCTTCTCACAAGAAGTTACTCAGTAAAAAAAGAAAGTAGATAGTAAAATATAGTTGCTCGAAGTTCCTACTTACAATGATAATTTTGTTCCAATTTAGATTCTACTGAAGAACGACAGGAACCGTTACTCTCAATGAAGAAGGTATTTTTTTTATATGACTTTTACTGTCCTTCTTAACAACAACATGGTATGTCTCTCTCTGTTGAAAGTGATAAGATGATGCTTTTTTTTATCATATCTAATGACAACAAAAAAGACAAAAAGCAACAGCTCATTGAATAAATGGGTACAGCTTTCTAACTCTAATAGAGTTTCGTTTCTGTTCAAAAATGCGTCTCTTGTTTTGAATGTGTATCTGTATTATATATCCTCTAGACAGTTAGTTCTCATTTATTATATAGCCATTGAGCTTCTTTCTTGGGAGGAGACATTTTCTTGAAAGAGAAACTCTGTTAAAGTTCAATAGTAGCGTCTATTGCATTGAATATGACTGTCATATTTTCTAAAGAAAATCATTTGGCATTACATTTAAAATCAAAGTATTCAATCATCTAAAGAAGTATCAGGTTAAAATGTACTCATATTCAAGTTGTTTGATTTTTTAATAATTTACTACTTTCTTGTGTTGCAAAAGATATAATCTATTAATATTTATTTAGAATGCATTCTTCTTAGATTTAATTTGAACTGAGAACTTTAATATAAATCTTAAGCATAAAGGGAAAAAGAGGTTCAAATGAGATTACAATCAATGTTTGTTTGCTACTGCTGCTAATTTGTACGATCAATTTCTAATCTTTAAATCTCAATAATGACTTTGCTCAATTATTCACATCAAGCGAATGTTGTTTTTGATGGTTGAAATATCAAACATATTCTTATCATCGAGAGCAATATTGAGAACTAGAACGGAACGAATCGCAATAGATTCTTGAAAATTTGGTTTTGTTTGCTTTTTTTTGGCCATATTCATTCTTCAGTAGATTCTCATCTGAATCTTCCGCTTTAATGAAAAAGAGAGTAAGATGATGTCGTTCGGGTTATCTCTTTAGGTTCGTTGATCTATTCTGAAATCATTTCCGAGATGCTATAACGATTATTGCCACACATCGATTTGCCAAGTTTGAATTTACTGACAAAACATAGGAGTCGGGCTGACCAACCATAACGATATCGGCTACAAACGAATTCGATTCATCAAAGTCCATCAATAGATCGATGACCAAAGACTAAGTATAAACCACGATTTTTCTGTGATCTTTCTTATTTCTTAGCGAATTGCTAATCAAAAACTGTCTTTATGAAATGGTACTCGAAGAAACGTATACGACATTGTCGTCAATTGTTGCATAGAAGATTTCTTTCTTAGATGGTCCATTATTATGTTGATCATGTTCATAATGTCAACGTAGTTTATTGTAGGGAAATTTCGTAATCAATAAGGCAGTTTAAAGATTAACACATTCAGCCCGATACAGTTTTATTAAAGAATATCTCTAGCAGATTCATTTTTGTGTGCATTCGTTGTCCTTTTCATTCTGTGCTGGCTCGTTGTTTTCTCTTTCTGATTGGTATATCACGTAGACAGTTATATCTATGCATCACATACTGGCTTTTACCAACATGACGTATTGGGCTTTTCCCTGTATGTTATCACATATTCTATATTGGACTTTTTCTAATAATATACTCGTTTACGTCATACTTGGTACTCTCCAACATGCTTATATATGTATGTATTGGTGCCTCTCTTCTTGTAGTCATTCACTATTATATTCACTAGTTCTCTTGCTTGTTCTATTCTTCCCTTTCCTTTTTTCTATGATAAAACTTCCTGTATGACGTTGAGATACGTATATTTTGATTGTTTTAACGAGAAGCATCATGCTATGGAATAAAGGACTCAAAAAATACTGAAGACAGAGCAAGTGACACATTGTGTGTAACCTTCTGCCTCAGTAAAAGGCAAAAGAAAGCGGTTTTCTATACAGTTTCTTCTTAAAATATAGTGTGACCCATCGATGGGTCACATCGGACTGAATGTATTAAGATCCGGCAAGTGATAGACTAGCTGTCCACAAAGAAATACGTCGAGGAATAGTAAAATGCCAATCGAATATTTTTGATGACCTGTTCTTTAACAACCAAAATTAGGCATGCACCCAAATTGTTTGGATGGATTTTTGCCCAAATGAAGAAAAATGCCCTTGTCTACTGAACTACGCGACTCAACATTTTTCCGTCAGTAGAAAATTAAAGTAGACCAATAATACAATAGAATTTCAAAAAATAGATTTCCGCAACGTTGTTAGACTACGTGCTAGAACCAGCAAACAATCCCAAATCCAATCAGTTTGAGTTATTTTTCAGTTTCCTTTCAATCTCTTGTTAAACCAAACGATTCATTGGATCATTCTCCATCCGGGTGTAGTTGTGTGGATGTGACAGTGCAATGTGTGCGTAAGTGTGACGGGTACGTGTGGGGATGTAGTGAGTACTCTATTGTGGAGCGGCAGGCGTTGAATCTGAGTGTTGTATGCAGCACGTGGATATGTCTTTGAGTGGAAGCTCTTGTCATTACTCAAACACATCCCGAGCACATCCAAGCCCCAAAACACACTACTCCGTGGCAACATCCAATCCTACAACCATAGCGAAATCCACATCTACACACATCTTCAACCTTCAATAACTTGTCAGTCTTCATTTGAGAAGAAAGGCTTGTTTGGTAGGGTAGAATTTTTATTGACTAGTGCTATATAAGTCAATGTTTGTCTTACCTATTTTCACTCAACCAACGTAAGATAACCATTTTTTTCTCTTTTTTCATTCTCTTTACATGAGTCAATGAAAAGAAACTGTTTGCAAAATCGACTTTTTGTTATGCAATCTTGATGAAAAAGGATTGCCATGTGTTGAAAGTAACCTCCGCAGAACTGTTACCAAGCAGTTGCCTTGTTCTTCTATTTTCTTTTTTTTTCTCTCCTCGTTTTCCCCACATATAATAAAAAGATCCTGCCTCCTGTAGAATTTTCGGTAAGAACCTGACTTTCAATGTATTTTATTTGACAGAACCGAAAGTAACACCAAATAGGATCATAGATTAAAATGATTTGATTTTGTGATCAATCGATACATTGGAAAGACGATTGTCCATAGGTTTTCAGGTCAATTTATCATTCTCTAATGGTTTTATGAATCTGTTTTCACAAATGAGCTGATCCTATAAGCAAAAGTGTACAACAACTAATGCAGTCAATCTTCATTCACATCCATTCTGAAATATAATGTACTCCTCTGTCTACAGCACAATTTTCGGAAACAGTGCCTAATGTATTGGCGGATCGAGGGCGATTTAGCCGTACCATCTTCGGCAATAGATTTGTCTATTTAATGCTATCGATTTTTCTCGGAACTAGATATTTGTTATGGGACTTTCATGGTGTCTACACCCCCTACTGCATCCATACTCTGTTCAGAAATCTTCAGATTCGTCATTGATCATACGACATCGTTACTAGAAGCTGTGCTGTAGAAAACACCAGCCGTCGTAATTCACTTGCTCTCCCTCTCCCAGCCAACAGATTCTTATTTAAATCAAGATGAGTTTGACGGCTAAGAAAGCATTCTCCTTAGCTCTCTGGTTAATGTAATGTTTCATCCAATAAATCACTTTCTCCTTCGATATCCAGTCGAACTCTTGTCGAAAGAGATGATCATTGACAAAATATGTCTTTGTTCTTCTTGTTTTGATTCATTGTTTTACAAGAGGTAAGAGAGAGAGAGAATAAACAGCCATACAAAGTATGAAGTCAAGAGAAAAATGTGGCACTAATTTGCTATACCGAATAACAAGAATATTACTCATAGGTTTCATGTGCTAGTTCATGTTAGCACTCGCTCTAACTTACACTGATGAGTAATATTGTGCCTGTCTAATCTCCTATCATTGAAAACTAGTCGACATAGAACGAATTGACTCCATTGAGTTTGACACATAATTATAGT